TAAATTACCAAGGATTTCTTTGTAGAATTAGACAAATTATAACGAAATTCTTCAAGAGTTACAGAAATGGTGAAGAATCTCAAGTGAGATGATGGAAAAAACGTGGTGTCAACATAGCAGAGTAGTAGGAACAAAAGTAGTTCATACCACTTGCCCTCTAACACCCTTCAAAGAAAAAAAAAGTATCAATAGGTGGAGCCAAGATGGTGGAGAAAAAGCAGGGACTAGCCTGAGGTCTCCCCAAAACTCCTCAAAAGAAACTTTAAATAATGCTTCAAAATGAATTCTGGAGCAGCAGGACACACAAAAGAATGGGATGAAACAATATCCTAGCCTAAGACAGTTTAGAAGGTTGGCAGGACAAGTGTGTCACAACTGATGCAACCATTTTGGAGAGCAATCTGGAAGTATGCCCAAAGGGCTATAAAAATGTACATACCCTTTGACCCAGCAATAACAGTTCTAGGGCTGTATCCCAAAGAGATCATAGAAATGGGAAAAGGATCTACATGTACAAAAATGTTTATAAAAGCTCTTTGTGTGGTGGCAAAGAATTAGAAATTGAGGGGATGCCCATCAATTGGGGAATGGCTGAACAAGTTGTGGTGTATCAATGCAATGGGATACTATTGTGCTATAAGAACTGCTGAGCAAGTGGACTTCAGAAAAACCTGGAATGACCCGTATGAACTGATGCTGAGTGAAGTGAGCACAACCAGGAGAACGTCGTACACAGTAACAGCCACATTGTATGAACTAACTTTGATAGACTTCGCTCTCCTCAGCAATTCATGGATCTAAGACATCTCCAAAAGTCTCATAGTGGAAAATGCTATCCACATCCTGAGAAAGAACTATGAAGTCTGAATGCAGATTGGATCATACTATTTGCTCTTTTTTTTCTCTTCTGATTTGTTTTGTTTCCTCTTTCTTGTGGTTCCTCCTACTGGTTCTAATTCTTCTTTATAACATGACTAATGGGCAAATATGCTTAATAAAAATGTATATGTGGAGCCTATATCAGATTGCATGCTGTCTTGGGGAGAGAGGTGAGGAGGGAGGAGGAGAAAATTTAAAACTTAAGAGCCTATGGAAGTGAATGTTGAAAACTAAAAATAAATTAATAAAAAAAAGAAAAAAGAAAAAGAAAAATGTGTCACACTGGGGTGAGAGTGGAGCAGTCCCTTTCAGGCAGTGCCAGAGTAGACTGTGCCATAGCAAAGCAGCAGCGGGCCTTGGGGGCAACTGAATCAGCAGTAGTAGCTGCTTCTGGAACTAACATCCCATAGATGGTAAAGGGGTCCGAGAACTGAAGAGAAAAAGTGATAGGGGAGCCTTGCAGACAATGTGGGCAGAACTCTATTGCATTACCTATACTTGGATCCAGGTGACAGTCGTGGGTCTTGGTCTTAAGACAAGGAGGAACAGAAGCACACCAGAGTTCGTGGACATGGAGGAGGAGGGAACCTGGTCACAGTTCCAGGGTGAAAAAAAATACCAGTGAGTTATTTTGTCCAGTCCAAGTCAGAATAGAGAGACAGAAAGCGAGGTTGGTGGATGCTGGGTAAAGAATCTAGACAGGAGCATTTTAGTATAGGGAGAGGCTGTTCACCAGGGGATTGAAAAGGCTATGTACAAACCAAATCAATTCTGCTAAAATTAGAAGGAAATCAGTTTACAATGGAAAAAAAGAATCTTTGTAGTAAGTTTCTGTAATAAGGGGCAATCATCCAAGATGTATGGGTAATTAATAGAAATATACCAATAAGAGCCATTTTTAAAAAAATGGTAGGTGCTCGGCTACCTACATTTTTTGTCTTTTCTCTTTTTAGGCAATTGGGATTAAGGGACTTGTCCAGGGTTACACAGCTAGTGTCAAGTGTTTGGTCTGAGGCCAGATTTGAACTCAGGTCCTCCTGACTTCAGGTCATTGCTCTATCCACTGTACCACCTAGCAGCCCCAAGAGCCATTTCTTTTTTTTTTCATTTTTAATCAGTTTATTTTGAATTATCAACAATCACTTCCGTAAGCTTTTGAATTTTAAATTTTTCTGCTGCTCCCTCCCCACCTCCCTCCCCAAGATGGAGCACAATCTGATATAGGCCATACATACACATTCCTATTAAACATATTTTCACACTAGTGACATTGTAGGTAAGAATTAGAACCAATAGGAGGAACGACCAGAAAGAGGAAACAAAACACAACAGAAGAAAATATAGTAAGTAGTATGCTTCGATCTGCACTCAAACTCCATAGTTCTTTCTTTGGGTGCGGATAGCATTTTCCATCGTGAAGCCTTTGGAAATGTCTAAGATCCTTGTATTGCTGAGAAGGGTTAAGTCTATCAATATTAGTCATTGCACAACGTGGCTGTTATTGTGTACAACGTTCTCCTGGTTCTGCTCACTTCACTCAGCCTCAGTCCATACAAATCTCTCCATGTTTATCTGAAGTCAACCTGTTCATCATTTCCTTATAGCACAATAGTATTCCATTACATTCTTATACCACAATTTGTTCAGCCATTCCCCAATTGATGGGCATCCTTTCAATTTCCAATTCTTTGCCACCACAAAAAGAGCTGCTATAAATATTTGTGTACATGTAGGCCAAGAGCCATTTCTTAACAGAAAAATGGTTAAAGTGTGTGTGTGAGGCTCTTAAAGAAATCGAAACCATCAACAACCCTGTTAAAAATTGCTCCGAATCGTTAAGAACGAGAGAAATGTCAGGTAAAATAACTCTGAACTTCTACTTTACCCTCATACTTTGTACCAGAGGTACCCAACACACTGTCTTTAGGCCACATGGGACCAACAAAAACTCCAGAGCTGAATGATCTGAATGAGATTCATGTTTAACTGGGAAAAAGTTTCATCATCTGAAATTTGTTTCTTTTGCTTTATACCATTTTCTACAAAGATCAAGGTTATTAAGGCTAGCCACCAAAGTTGTAGATTTTCCCAGGTATATGGAGCTTACGAAACTTGTAGTTCCTATGTGGGACTAATATTCTTTACTGCTAGGTATTTTTTTCTGTGTGACCGTTCTCCTCTGTAAACACTGTTTGCATTGGTGAGAGAGTGTGATCCATGTTTATGAGTCTCTTGTTATATTTTCCTGTGGGGATCATACATTCTCCCCTTGTAATTCTCATTTCTGTTTCAAACCTCGTAGGAACAGTGTGTTATGGTTCTAAGTTCTTCTCATATTCCCCATGGTCCTCTCTCTCCACAAGTGTTGGATGATTTTCTAGATAGTTTACTTTGCCAGATAATCCTTCCACCTCCCCAGGGCTCTGACCGTGGCCCTCTTCTTTTTCTTCTCTCTGCTCCCCACTTCTCAGGGTCCATATCAGCTCTCTTGGGTTCAATTTTTCACTTCTATGCAGGTAACTGAATTGAGAAATAAGCAATGATTGGGGTGGAGTTGGTTAAGAGGGAGGATCAGAGCAAGGAGGAAATATTGAATAGCAAGCCTCACTTTCAAGTCCTGAGAGGGAATTCAAAGGGAAAGAGAAGGAAAGAACAAGAATCTAAGGAGGTGTCCTCGACTGTCCTTTAGACAACTGGGGACTGGCTGCATCGATTGTGGCACATGAAAATGATGGAATGGTATTGCACCAGATGAAAATGCAAATGAATGAACTCAGAGAATCCTGGGTAATATGAACTAATGCAGAGTGAAGGAAGTAGGGCCAGGAGAATAACTTATTCAAGGAAAACAATATTACAAACAAGAACAACTTTGAAAATCTTAAGAACCCTGAACAATGCAATGAGAAAATTCAGAGGACTGCTGATGAAGCATTGAATCCAATTTTTGACTGAGAAGCAAGAGACACAAATGCATATATATATATATATATACACACATATACACGCATATGTATATATATTTGTGAGCATGACTACCATCTGGATTCATTTTTCTTTCACTTATTTAGTACAAGTTTCCTTTTTTTATTTAGGGTTGACTGGGATATAGGCAGAGGCGACATTAATAGCAATGTTTAAAAAGAGGGGACATTCATACATTTTAAAAAATACACAGAAGAGAAAAGGAGAATGTTCAGAAGGAGGAATACGCGGCAGGGCAGTTTGGAAAGTAACAGAGGGAATATATATATATATATATATATGTTTGCATACATAAGTACACACACACATATATATTTAAAGGAAGAAAAGGTGAGAAATGGAAATACACGTGCTCATAAACCACCTTCTTTTTGTGCTCTTTTGGGCGTATGAAAATGCTCTCATTTTGATGTCTGATTATGTATGTAAGTTTAAATAATTAGAAAAATATAAAGAACCTTTCCTTGTTCATCTAGCCCAAGATAAACAAACAAATGCCACTGTGCACAATGACTTCCACCCCCTGACCATCAGGAAAGTATTTTCCCAAGAGCAGGAGTAGACGTGGGGGCTCTCTTCCTCAGGTGTGACCCATCAATCTTTGTCCCCTCCCTAAATTCTCCATTTAGCCTATATTCCAAGAGATTCCTACTTTGGGGTCATCCATGAGCCAGCATAGACCATCTCTACTCTTGTCTCTTGCCATTTTCCCTCCTGGTGATCTCCTCAGCTCCCATGGGCTGAGTCCTCATCTCTCTGCAGATGACTCCCCTCTCTAGATAACCAATGAGTACTAAGCCTCTTGGACATCTCAACTAAATATCTCATGGGGCTCCCAAATGCAAAACGAACAGTCACAGCAAGTATCAATCATACATTTATTAAATGTCAAGTCCTTACCAGTTACAGGGCTAGTCCCTGAGATACAAAGACACAAAATACAACAGTCCATGCTCTCATTCTTGAAAATTATCTAGGGAAAAATGACAGAAACATATAACTGGGGAACAAAAATAGTTGATATGGATTGGTTTGGGAGTCCTCATGAAAATTTTCACCACATGTAAGAAGATAAAAGTGTTATTAATTGTCCTCTCAAGTACAGAAGTCTGTAATAATGGTTGGTTGGGGGTGGGGTGGGACTGAACTCCATGAATATCAATAAAGGATCCAAAGGGCACCTGTACCATGAGCAAGTGAGAGGATATAAGGTGTAAGAAGAGTTAAAAGGTCATGGGGGAGGTTATGAAGGGCTTGGAATGACAGAGGATTTCACATTTAATCCTAGCGTTTATAGGATTTATTGACTAGGTGTCTGACTAGGCGACTGACATAGTCAGTCCTGCACTTCAGAATCATCAATTTGATGGCTGAGTGGATGATGGACTGGAGTGAGAGAGACTGGTGGCAGGCAGATCCACCAGCAGGCGATTGCAATAGACCACGTGTGAGTTGAGCTCCAGGGTAGTAGCTGTGTGATTGGAGAGAAAGGGACATGTCCAAGAGATGTTACAGAGATGGAAAACATAGACCTGCACCAGACTGGATACACGAGAGGAGTGTGAGTGATGAGGGGAGGATGGCAGTGCGGGGGTGAGCCTCAGCAGTTTCCTCCTTTTCCAATCTCCTTACACGTCATTTCACTCCACTTTATGAAACATCTACAAAAGACAATTTTTTTGCCCCTGTCCACAACAGTGTCCTAACTCCATGCTTCGGTGGTGGCTGTCCCCATGCCTGGAATGTCATCTTTCCTCCAATCTGCCTCTTCGTTTGCCTGGGTTCCTTTAAAACTCAGCTCCAATCCAGTCTAGTTCAGAAGACATTTCCTGATCTGCACAAATGCTAATAACTTCCCCTTTGAGATGACTGGCCAACTTCTACTCCAGATATGTCTTGTATGTTTCTCGTTATCATAGATGGCTGTACTTGCTGTGCACAAATCTAGAAATGGATAACCCCAATAAACATCATGGCTCCTCAATGATAGAAACCTGGGGAAGATGTACTCACAAAACAAATGAAATAGGGGTGAGGGAGAGGAGAGCAGATGGGAGAAGAGAAGATGGGGGAGGAGAGGACGGGAGAGAATTTCTTCTGTGAAAGGTGCCCAAACCCTCAGTCCCTGGGCACAGTGGAATAGATGATGGGCTCTGTCGGTGTCTTCATGCGGTCAGTTTTCCTCTCATTCAAGGTTCTAATGTTCAGCTGAGTATAGGTCATTCCCTGGGGGTCTTCAGCTTTGGTGACCTGAAGAAGAAATACAAGGTAAAGAGAACAGTGAGTGACTTTGGAGCAGGACTTCTTAATTGATTGGTGCATCATGAATGTTTTCACAGACTGTCTGATGAAAGCTAGGAATGCCTTCTTAGTCTCATTCCTTTAATTATGTGAAATGAACTCCTTATAATTTCAAAGGACATAAATGATACTGACATACAGTGATTGCAGTCTTTAACAAATTGCCCCAAATAATTAAGGGATCCCCAGGGCAGAGTCTTCACATTGGATGACTAGAAGAAAAAATTAGTAAGATTAAGAAGTGGTGCAACTGTGGGCCTAGAGTCTGTGGGGAAAGGTTGTGGTTAAGGATGAAACGGAGTCCTCCTGGTGGACGACAGGATGGGCTAACTCACCAATCGTTCTCTTGGTCTCTTCTTGGCCACTTCTGTATCTGAGTTAGAGAAAGGTCCCATCATTCCCACGGCTCCCAGGACTCCAATCCACAATAGCAACCCCCTGACCCATTATCATACCCTCTTCCTGCCCAGATCACCTACACAGGGTCTCCTCTCTGGGGCCCTCAGGCTGATGGGGCAGGCAGGTAGTCCAAGAAAGGCAAGGAAAAGAAAGACACCTGAGACAAGGAGAGGGGAGGAAATAGGATCAGGGGAGAGAGTCCACCCTGGGAGGCTCTGTGAGCTTCCTTTCCTCACCAGGGACTCTGTGCAGGACAGAGGGTCCAGGGTTACATGGCAAGGAAGGAGCAGGGAACTGTGGGAAGATGAGTGGAGTCTCCTTACCTCCTAGGGCTCTCTCCTTGTGAAGACCCTGGTGAGAGAGACATGGGAAGGGAAGAAGCCAGGTCAGGGAAGGTCTCAAAGGAGGAAATCGAGGTCTCAGTCCTTACCCACCTCTTTATTCCTTCAGACCCTGAGGGGTTTCACTCTTTCTTTGCCACACTCACCCACACGGATGGATCCTTGGCAGAGGAGTGCCAGCAAGAGAAGGCAGAGGAGGAGGAGGAGGGAGGAAACACAGCTGAGGATGATAATGAGGGTGTCACTGGGCTGTGAACCTGGGGTGGTGGAGAGACAAAAATCTTCCTAAGTCACTATCCTTAGGGGACCCTCACCTTGCCCCTGGAATTGTCCCTCTGTTTTCTCATCATATCTCCCTCCAGAGACACCCATCACCACCACCATCCACCAGTTTGGCACAAATGCTGCTCACAGTGGGCTTATCCCTTGGAACTGGGTTCAGAAACCCCAAAGGATAGATATATGTGGGTCACCAGGGAGTATGGGGGGAAGCCTCATGTCCAGCCCACACCCTTGTTCTCTGTGGCATTGGAATTGAGGAAAATATCAAGGTTACTGTTGTCTCTCATCCCGTGTCTCTTGGCCAGAGCCAAGGCCTTGATGTCATTTCCGCGTGGAAGCTGCAGGAGGGAATGACCATTGGCACCTCCAGTGTGTCCTCTGGTGGGCTTCTTCCTCTCACCTGTCACTCTAAGCTGCAGGGGCTCACTGTGTTCTGTCCAGAGCCTTCCATTGGTGGGAAGCTGGTAGCTGCAGCTATAATTGCCAGAGTGCTGGGGGGTCACGTGGGTCAGGAAGAACTTGGCCCCATCTTGAGTGCTTGGCAACATTTTCTCATCTCCATCCTTGTGCAGAACCAAGCTACCACTCCACGAGGGCCCCTGGCACAGGAGGGTCACGTTGGCTCCTGAGGCCACCTCTGGGCCAGGCCAGGCTGAGAGGGAAGGCTTGGGGAGAGAATCTGGAAACCCAAAGAGAGGCCAGAGATGTTCTGGAGGGGCCCCTCACACTTGTAATAGGGGTGGAATTGGGGGAGTAAACAAGAGAGGGGAGGTCCCTGAAAAACTCCCTGACCACCAGGTCTCACTTCCTTTGATCCTTTGGTCATTCCTTGCCCAAAACGTTCTTCCCTGGAGAGGCATGGATGCTAAACCTGAGATGGTCTATGGGCCCACCTAGAAGGAAGGTAGGGTTTCTTCCTTCTATTTTGCCCCTTGAGCTTGGAGCCATACCTGAGCTGGTCCATCCTTTCACCTTCGTTCTCCCCTTCCTTAAGTACCCACAAATCTCGTCCCACACTCTTATTCCTTCTCTAGGTTTCTGGCCTGCCTCTCAGGCTCGAGTCTCAAACCTCTACATTATGCCTTGCATATCTGGACACACTCTTACCTGTCACCCAGATCTCTACGACCTCACTGGGCTCAGACACCTGGTATGGAGCCATCCCCCTGTGATAGACACAGCTGTAGTTGCCAGCATCCTGGGCCCTCACAGAGAAGAGGGGAAAGTCAGCTGAGGTCCCAACTGGGCTCTGGCTCTGCAGGGGCTGGGGGGTCCCCACCTTCAGCAGAACGAAGGTCACGGCACTGAGGAATGTCTGAGGGGGCTGTCGGCACTGGAGAGTCACATGCATCCCAGGCTCCACCACAAGGCCTGGGGTGGCTGAGAGGGAAGGCTTGGGGAGAGATCCTGTGAGAGGGAGAACATGGGCCTGGAGTCAGGACACCTGGGTCAAATCCCTACTCACACTCTGAGTCCCCTTCTGACCGTGGGCCATCCACTGGGCCTGTCTGAGTCTCAGTTTTGTCGTTCAGTTGTGTTTTTAGTCATGTCCAATTCTTCATGACCCCATTTGTGTTTTTCTTGGCAAATATACTGTAATGGTTTGTCATTTCCTTTCTTACTTCATTTTACAGATAAGGATACTGAGACAAACAGGGTTAAGTGACTTGCTCAGGGTCACAAAGCTAACAAGGTTCTGAGATCAGATTTGGACTCAGGAAGATGAGTCTTCCTAACTTCAAGTCCAGCATTCTGTCCACTGAGCCACCTAGTTGCCCATGAACCTCAGTTATTTCATCTGTAAATGAGGGCTTTGACCAGCAGATTGCTCATACATTTCCAGCTGTAGCTAGCTAGGAATCTAAGGAGATTTTCACACCTGAGGGAGCTCACCCAGCCTATGGTCTCATGCAGCTGTTGACTTATGGGAGGGAAAGTCATGGTCCCTCACTTTTCATCTGGGCTATGACAGATGGTCCCAGGGCTCAGCCTAAAACCTGGGCTCAGATCATTGTCCAGGAGTGAGAAGGCTCAGGCTAATTTCCAGGCTCAGTCACTCGTGTGATCTTGGACAAGTCCTTTCTTTCTGGGTCTCACTTTGCTCGTTGGAAATGGGAGGGTTTGGCCTCAAGAACCTCCAAGGCCTCTTTCTGTTCTGGGTCTCTGTGACTCTTCTCCTAATCCCCAACTCAGTCCCCACCATCCCTTTTCTTCCCAATAGTCTAGATCAGAATAGAAATGCCTCAGGTCTTCCAAGACCCCAGAGCCCTGACAGGCCCCTGGTCAGAGCTAGTTGTATAGATACCATGCCTTGTCTCTGTGAGGCCCCTGTCTGGGCAGAGTGCAGAGGGGTCATGCTCAGAGCTATTCTGGGACCCATCCCCCCCTCACCTGTCACCACCAGCTCCAGGACCTTAGTGGGCTTTGATCCTCTAGCATATGCTCTCCTGTCCCTGTAAGAACAGCTGTAGCTCCCAGTGTTCTCAGGTCTCACAGATGGGAGCAGGAAGCTAGTCCAGAGATCTGTTGAGGCCTGCTGCTGTAAGGGCCACAGGGTCCCAGCCTTCCACAGAGTGAAAGTCACTTCTTCAAGGGAAGACAGCTTGGGCCTTGAACACCAGAGAGTGATGTTGGCCCCTGGGGCCACCCTGAGGCCAGGTTGGGCCCACAGAGTGGGCCTGGGGAGTTGTCCTGGGCAGAAGAAGAGATACCAAATGTCAGAGTGAGATGACCCTTCAGGGACCCCTCCCCCAACTTCTTCGTAAGAGGGGCAACAACAATTTCAGTTCTGTTCTCACTTTCTTGTCTGGAGCCTGCCTAGAGCTGGGAGCACCCCTACTATCCTGGGGCCCAAAGCTGGTCTGCATAGAACATAGGAGGGTCCCAGGGCCTCCTCCAGCCTCTCCCCAAACCAAACCTTCAGAATTCTTAGGATTTTATACTGTCCCCCAAGCTCTTGGCCCCTATGTGGGGGATGGGTTTGGGGATTTGGGGGTTCCCAAGTCCAGTCACCAAGCACAGTCAGCTTCACAGCCTGGCTGGGATGGGACCCACTGAAGGGGGCTTTCTTCTTGTAGTAAATGCAGCTGTAGCTCCCAGTGTCCTCAGGCCTCACAGACAGAAGTGAGAAAACAGCCCAAGTCCCTGCTGGGCTGTGTTGCTGCAAGGGCTCCAGGCTCTTTGCCTCCAGCAGGGCACAACTGTAGTCCTGAGGAGGAGCCTGTGATGACATCTGGCACCAGATGGTCACTGTTGCCCCTGGGAATATTGTGGAGTCATGTGAGGCTGAAATGGAGGGTTTGGGGAGGGCTCCTGTGAAAAGAAAAAAGAAGAAATTTAGGGATTTGATCTCTTCTCCTAATCCCCTGAAATCATTCCCTGAAATATACCTGGGAATGGGGAGGGTGGGCTGAGGGCCCTGGACATTTCCCTTTGCCCAGGTCTGTCGGCCTGTTCACGGCTGGATAACTGGGCTCCTGGGTCACCTTCAGAAAAATGTTGTGGGCCCAGGAAGGCTCTGCGAGCAGAGAAGGATGGGAGAAGGACAGGGGCAGAGGACATCACCACCTCTACCTTCCCCTCTTCTCACCTCCTCCAAGGAACTCAGCTCTGTCTCTACACCCTGGCCCTGCTTGACCAAGGCAGGATCCTAATGCACCATCACTCGCAAATTCTGTTACACTTTGAGATTTGCAAAGCTCTGTCCTCCCAATAACCCTATGACTGGGTAGTTAGCTAGAAACCCAGATTCCGAGTCCTGAGCTCTACCCATTTCACCACAAGGCTGCCTGGTGCCAGGTCTTTTTCCTGCCACCCCCTGCCCACCTGTCAGTGAAGCCAGAGCAGAGCTGGCAGAACTGTGTGTGTCCCTGGGTGGGCAGAGGCTGGCAGAAGAGGATGTGGGCTCCCTCTGCAGTTCTGTGTAGAATTTATTTTTGTCCAGTTCTTCTCCACTCATTCATCACTCACTTATCAGGAGCCTCCTGGTCAGCGATGGGAGAGCCCCAAATGTTTAGGCAAGGCAGCAACCCTGCTGTCCTCAGGAACTCCCAGTCTCAGGGATCACAGGGCGTTCAGCATACATGATGTCCTTAAACAACTCAGTCCATCAGCTTCAGATCACAGAAGATGGAACCAAGGTCCACAGAAGGTTGAGGACTGGCCATCATCAGCCCCCTAGGACCTGGGGGAGCAGATGTTTGAATCCACTGCCACAGGCCCCTGAGCTCAGGCTCCTTACCCCTTCAACAGACTACTTTCTAACACAAGCCAGATGGACAGCATCCTGGGGTGGGGGAAGGACCCTGATGTTAGATTGAATGCTCTAGAAAGGGGAAGGCACCATGCTGGGAAGGCCAAGGGCCAGGAGATTGCCACTTGATGTAATAAGGGACAGCATCTTGAAGTAGCCAGGATCTAAGTTGGGCTTTATGGATGTGTAGGAAAGTGATGGATGAAGGTGGGAAGGGTATCTCAGGCAGGGGGAACTGTGTGAGCAAAGACTGAGCGATAGCACGTGAAGACAGGTGATGGAGTCATCTGTCCAGGCTGATGGGAATGTAATGAGGGCAAAGGGAACAAGGGGAGACACACCTGGACAGGATGGATGTTGCCAGTTTGGGCCTTAGAGGAGACAGGAAAAATTTATCTAAATAAAGTTTGCTCTGTAAAAGCTGTGTGCCCCTGCTCCCAAAGGCTGCTGTGTATCCTGTGAGGGAGGAGCCACCCAGCTCTCCTGGCTGGGTCACCGGGGACACTGACCAGGTGGGGAAACATCCCTGGTTTTGGCCATGGGAGACATGGGTTCAAATCCTATCCCTCACATTAAAGAACCTGTTGACATGTTCAACTTATCTTACCTCCCCTCCAGGCCTCGGTTTCCCCAGCTATAAAAGGGAAATATAGTGCATGTGCTCTCATGCTTTCAGTGTTAGTGAGGGGAAAAGTTTCAGAATCGTACCTATGCCCCCAAAGTGTCAGCTGGGGAGCCAGGCATTCCAACAACCTAGGGAGGGGTGAGGTGTTAAGAGGAGGCAGGTAGTCAAGCCTGAGGGGCTGTCCCACTTATAAGTGGGACCCCTCCAGAGAAGGGTCTGGGGCTCCTCTCTTAGGACTGACCTCCTTCCTACCAGGGGATGGTTGTAGACCAGCACCCCTCACCTGACATTTTTCTCTGGTTCTCCTGTTCTCATTCATCACCCACTTGTCAGGTGCCACCTGTTCCACAAAGGGGAATTCCCAAAGGTTTAGGGAAAGAACCACTCCTGCTCTCCTCTTGGAGTACACAGTCCCAAGAATCACAGGGGTTTGAGCTTCAATGACCTCATTAGATAATTCAACCCATGAGCTTTATGTCATAGAACAGGGACTGAGATCCACAGATGGCTGGGGACATGCCCACAGTCACCCAACTAGGACCTAGGAGGACAGGTGTTTGACCTCTCTGCCACACTATCAATGTCATCTCTCAGGACTGTCCTCCTTCCCACCAGGGATGGTTGTAGACCAGCAGCCCCTCATCTGTCACCACCATGGCCAGGCCTTCACTGAGCTCTGACCACCAGGATCCCTGCCCAGAGCGGCAGCTGTAGCTTCTCGCATCTCTACATTCATCCACATTCCTGAGCACGAACTCTGCCTTCTGCCAGGTTGCATTTCTCTCCTCTCTGAGCTCTCCATCCTTCCAGAGCTGGAATTGGTCACTCCCCAGGTGACCCTGGCACCTAAGGGTCACATCTGCTGCCCCGCGGACCACAGGACTTGGGATGGCCCAGAGTGTGGGCCTAGGAAGGGCATCTGAGAAAGCAACAGAGTCCCTAATCCTGGAGATTTCTCCAAGCCTCATGTTTCTTTCACCAGCAGATTCTGAAGCCCCTCCCTGATTCATCCCATCCATTGAACACAATGTCCCCTTTCCATCCCTGCTTCTCCTGGAACTAGATGCCTGGATTATTCTGGTACAAGGAAGGAAAAGAAAACAGTGGGATCTTGGGGGCAGGACTCAGCCATCTGTGCCGTCACCACTCTGTCCAGACAGAGCCCTGTAAGAGAAGCTCAGGTTATAGATGCCTCTCCTCCAGCCCACATTGACCCCATCCCTAGCTCTCACCAAAGTCCCAGAACCTCTCAGTCTGCTTTGGTCAGAATATGAAGGAAGAGCCCTTTCAGCAGACACTGGGGTCTGGCTCTGCCCAAGAAGGTTCTTTCTCCTCCATAGGCTTCCTCTTGCCCTTCAGCATGAGGCGCTAAGGACCTTGTCCAAATGTTCCTCCCTCCCCAGGCTTGACCCTAGAGGCTCACCAACGGTGATCAGGAATGTGACTATGGGGCCCATGGTGGGTCTTCAGCTGTGGCCTGGGCTGTCCAGCCTCAGCTGTGCACAGGGGAAAAGGTAGGTGGAGTGGAGGCTGGCCCAGGATGTGGTGGCCAGCACTTAGCCTTACACCCCTTCAAGCCAGCCCCCTCAATTTCCACTCTTATACTAATGAAAGAAAGACCATGGTCCCTCAAGGCTTAGCTCTGGGGGGATCAGCATGTCTTAAGGTTAGTTAAGACAAGGACCAAAGGCTCTGATGGCTATCTAGTATTGAAGACCACTGAATGGGATCAGGGCCAAAATACCAAGACTTGTCTGGAAATGACTAGTGCCCCCATAAAAAGCCTCACTCTGAAAGGACTAAGACCAGGTATAAGGGCATTCCATGGCCCCAGAGTCTCAGCCTCACAGCCTTGGTTCAGCTGGTTGGTGGGCACATGTTACATGTGACATGTGACTTTTGGATCAGTCCCATTTTCTGCTCAATAACAATGACAGCTATCGTTTATAACGCACTTTCAGCTTTGCAAAATAGTTTTCAAATATTTTCTCATTTGATCCCCCCCCAACAACCTGGGGAATAGGCTCAATTTTCTCACTATTTTTTTCAGATGAGAAAACTGAGGTAGACAGAGGTTAAGTTGCTCAGGATCCCACAGCTAATGAGTGTCTACAGGAGGTTTTGCACTCAGGTTTTCTAGACTTCAAATCATTTAAAGTCATGAATCTGGCACCAAACATTGTACAAATGTTTTGCCCCTGACCCCCAGGTATCTCAAAAGCTCAGTCAAAGCATCTCCTGTAGGACCCCACAATGGCAGCCTCTGTCACCTCAGGAATGGCCAGCCATGGCGATGGCTACTCTGACTGCAGTTTGGTTAGGCATTGTACCTACCCTGAACATTGACCCTTGAACAGGATGTCCCAGAAGCCCTTCAGGACAACAGCTCCAGTTCTGGGCTGCCTTGCACATCATCACTCAGTCCTTCCCTGGATCAGAGCAGGCAGGCAGCCTCCCACCTAGACAAGACTCAGATGAAAATCAATGATCGTTTGTTAGTCTTGTACTATATGGTGGACCTGTCATAGGTGCTGGGAACACAAAGAGAAAGAAAAAGAAATAGTACAGCTCTCACGGAGCTTATATTCTCCTGATGAGGGCAAAAACTATATTTTAGGACAAAACATTTATGCATAAGGACTTGTTTGAGAGAAGGCAGCACTCTGTCTTCAATGGAAGTTTCGTAATGCCAGAAAAGGGCTTCCAGAAGATTGAGCTGGGACCCAAGAGTCCCTGAAATTGAAACAATTAGGCATGATAGAAGAGTCAGATAGTTTTGGCATGGGCAGCCCATGACTCAGAATCTTGACTGGATGTATTGGGTCAGATAGTTATCCCTTCTCTTCAGTAAAAAGTGAGATTGACTTAATTTTCATCCTTGTAGATGGAAGAGAAGGATGAGTACGCATGCGTGATGGCAGGTCAGATGGTCACTGGTCCTGTCTGATGAACAATCAGTCATAAACGGTTAGTAAGTATTGAATATTGAGAAGACTCTAAGTTGACTCCTGGAAATTCAAAGGCAAAAGTCTTCTCAAAGAGCTTCCATTCTTTCAGGTTAGACAACATGTACACAGGGATATGTCTATGCAAAATAAATTTATATCAGGTGAATGCAAAATAAATGTATGCAGGGACATAGATATGTGTTTGTCTGAGAGGGAAGGTGCTAGAGGCTGGAGAATCAGGAAAGATTTCTTTTATTTTTTAACTTTTTTATTTGAAATTTTGAGTTCAAAATTCTATCCATTCCCCTCTCTTCCCGGATGGTAAACAATCAGATATAGATTATGTGAAATTATATAAAACATTTCCATGTTTGCCATTTTGTACAAGAAGACAAAAAGAAAAAATGAAAGAAAGTGAAAATAGCCTACTTCAGTCTGTATTCACTCAATATCTGTTCTTTCTCTGGAGGCAGATAGTACACTTCATCATTAGTCCTTTGGGATTGTGTTGGATCATTGTAGTGCTGAGAGTAGTTATGTTATTCACAATCCTTCATTGAACAATGTTGCTATTACTGTGTACGATGCTCTCCCAGCTCTGTTCACTCACTATACGTCAGTTCATAGAAGTCCTTCCAGGTTTTTCTGAAGTCTGCCTGCTCATCATTTTTTACAGCACTTCATAAGCTTATGCTATAGCTTGCTTAGCCATTCCTCAATTGATGGTCACCCCTTTGATTTCTAATTCTTAGCCACCACAAAAAGAGCTGCTCTAAATATTTTTGTACGGATAGGTTCTTCTCCCTTTTTTGGATATCTTTGGGATATAGACCTCGCAGTGGTATTTCTGGACCAAAGAGGATGGATAGTTTTACAGCCCTTTGGGCATAGTTCCAAATTGCTCTCCAGAATGGTTGGGTGCGTTCACAATTCTACCAACAGTATATCAGTGTCCCAGTTTTCCCGCATCCTCTCCAAAATCCAACGTTTTCCTTTTTTGTCATTTTAGCCACTCTGATCAGTGTGAGGTGGTACCTCAGAATTGTTTTAATTCACATTTCTCTGACCATGAGTGATTCAGAGCATTTTTTTTTCACATGGAAAGCTTTGATTTCTTTCTCTGAAAACTGCCTGTTCACATCCTGTGACCATTTATCAGTTGGGGAATGACATATTTTTTAAATTTGATTCAGTTATCTATATATTTGAGAAATGAGGCCTTTATCAGAAATACTTGTTGCAACAACTTTTCCATTTTTTGCCTTCCTAATTATTTTCATTGCATTGGTTTTGTTTGTGCAAAAACTTTTTTGCCTTTAGCCTGTGAGCATCTGTTTGCTTCAAATGTATTTCTTGCATACAACACATTGTAGAATTCTGGTTTTTAATCCATTCAGCTATCTGCTTCTGTTTTAAGGATAAGTTCATCCCATTTATATTTATAGGTTTGCTAATTAACTTTGCATTTCCATCCATGCTGTTTTTCACTTCTTAATTGCCCCTCATGTCTTATACCCTATCTTTTCCCTCCCCAAAAGTGTTTTGTTTCTGATCACCACCTTCCCCAATAGACTCTCCCTTTTATCAGTCCTCTTTCCCTTTTCTATTGTCCTTATTCCTTTTTACTTCCTTATAGGGTAAGATAGATTTTTGTATATACATCTGAGTGTGTATGTTATTTTGCTTCTGATCACTGCCTTCCCGAATAGACTCTCCCTTTTATCAGTCCTCTTTCCCTTTTCTATTGTCCTTATTCCTTCTTACTTCCTTATAGTGTAAGATAGATTTTTGTATATACATCTGAGTGTGTATGTTATTCCCCCTTTGAGTCAATTTTGATGAGAGTAAGGTTTCAGCTTTTTCTGCCACTCCTCCATATTCCCCTCCATTATAAAAGCTTTTTTATTCCAAATTTTATCTGGGATAATTTACCCCATTCAATCTCCCCCTCTTTCTCTTCTGTCTACATATACTTCTTCTTTTTGTTCTCACAGGAATAAAGTTGTTAAGAGTTACAAATATTATCTTACCACATAGAAATATAAACATTTTAACTTTATTGAATTTCTTATGTTTTCTCTTTCTTGTTTTTTTCTTTTCTTTTCTTTTTTTACCTTTTAATGTTTCCCTTGAGTCTTGTATTTGGAGGACAATTTTTTTTATTCAGCTCTGTTTATTTCAATTAGAAATGCTTGAAAGTGCTCTATTTTCTTAAATGTCCATTCCTTTCACCCTCCAAAAAAAAAAAAATGAAATTACATCAGTTTTGTTGGGTAATTGGTTTTTGGTTGTAATCCTAACTTCTTTGCCTTCTGGTATATCATATTCTAAACCCTCCTGTTCTTTAATGTGGAAGCTGCCAAATTCTTTGTAATCCTGACTTTATCTCCATAAATTTTGGGTTATTCCTTTTTGGCTGCTTGCAATACTTTCTCCTTGATCTGTGAACTCTGGAATTTGGATATAATATTCCTAGAAGTTTTTATTTTGTGATCTCTTTCAGGCAGTGATTGGTGGATTCTTTTCATTTCTATTTTGCCCTCTGGTTCTAATATATCAAGGCAGTTAACTTTGATCATTTCTTGAAAGATGTTGTCCAGGCTTTTTTTTTTTTTTTTGGTGAGGCAATTGGGGTTAAGTGACTTGCTCAGGGTCACACAGCTAGTAAGTGTCAAGTTTCTGAGGCTGGATTTGAACTCATGTCTTCCTGACTCCAAGGCTAGTACTCTATCCATGGTGACACCTAGCTGCCCCCAGGCTCTTTTTTTAATCATGGCTTTCAAATAGTCCAATCAAATAGTCCAATCATTCTTATATTGCCTCTTCTGGATCTATTTCCTAGGTCAGTTGTTTTTCCAATGAGATATTTCAGATTTTCTTCATGTTTTTTACTTTTTTATTTTGTTTCATCATATCTTGATGTCTCATAGAGTCATTAGTTTGTACTTGTTCAATTCTAAATTTATTATTTTCTTCAGTGAGCTTTTGTATTTCCTTTTCCACTTGGCCAATTTTATTTTTTAGGAAGTTACTTTCCTCAATAAATTTTTGTATATCCTTTT